TATTAAGTGGCAAAGATAAAAATCCCATGGGGAAACATGTACTTAAAATTACCCCATGAAAAACCCCAAAAAACCCCATGGGATTTAAAATTTTCCCCATGGGGGAAATAAACCCATATAATCTTTCGTGGGGTTTTTAAACCCATATATGACTAAAAATTACATGTGGGTTTTTTTCCCCACGTTTTTGTTACTTAGGGTAAAAAACCCCATGTAATCTTCATTATATATCTTTGATTTCATGAGAATTGGAATGGAGACATTAATTATTGTCTTGTCTTATTTTCAAACTTATTTCCAAGATATAATAATTTCAGACATGTCTGCTCCTCATTTTTTTTCAATATTTTTGAAACCTTGTTAGTATAGCAAAATCATTACAAATTCTGTTTATTAATTAATTCATAAATTATCTTGGTATGTCCCACTTCCCTTGGATCCCCAACTCATAACAAGAGACCGTTGAATCCACCAATAAATTCTTTGAATCTACATATGATTCATGTTACATACATAAATTTTCTATATGACTTATTCATATAAAGAATAAACTTTCTTATCTCCCATACAGAAGAGTACCATTGCTATATATATTTCAATATTTATTTCATATTTCTTTTTTTCCTTCAAATTTCCCCTTGGATCCCCAAATAAACTAGATCTTTGGATCCATCACTTAATTCTATGGAGCTATTTAACTCATTCATGTTAAGCTTAAGTTATGTACGTGTACTTGATATCATTTTGTTGAAATAAAAAAATAATTGATATTATCAGATAAAGGTATGTTCCTCTCACTTTCAATCAACAACCTGAACATAAAACATTTATTCTTGAGACCTGATTAACATATTAAAATCATTTACTTTAAAATAAATATACTCTTAATATCTCAAACTTTTTAATTCATAAAATATTCCCCACTCCCCTTGGATCCCCCTCTCAAAAGATTAGACTCCTGGATCCACCACAAAATTCTCTGGATCTATGTTTGAATATTTTTTTCTTCAAATTAAATCAATACATATGTGATTAGATAAAGTTCTTCTTCCTTTGGATCCACAACTTAATTAAAATTTAATTGATCCCTATTATTTGTTATCAAATTGTAAACACATGTAATATCTTTTGTTTTCAAATATAAGGATATGCAAATGCTGTTTATAAATTAATTAAAAAATTATGTCCCATTCCCCTTGGATCCCCCATTCAAAAGAATAGACCCTTGGATCTACCACTAAATTCTTTGAATCTATATATAATTCAAACCTATATATAATATATGACTCTTTCATATAAAGGATAAATTTTCTTATCTCCCATACAGAAGAGTTACATAGCTATATTTCAAATTTTCTTTCATGAATATCTCTTCCTTTTTTTTTTTAAATTGATAAATTATTCCCCACTCCCCTTGGATCCCTCACTCAAAAACCTTGATCCTATGATCCATCACTTAATTCTTTGGATCTATATAACGCACTTATATTGAGCTTAAAGTTATGTAACTTTGACATTATGTTTAAAACAAAACTTCATATTATAAGATAAAGCTACATTCCTCTCCCTTTCGATAAAGAGCCATGAACATTAGACATGCCTGATGTTCTCAATTATTCATAGGTTTAACATATATATATCAAAAATCATTTACTCTTAAATATAAAATACTTTTAATATCTCAAACTTTTTAATTCATAATATATTTCCCACTCCCCTTGGATCCCCCTCTCAAAAGATTAGACCCTTGGATCCACCACAAAATTAAATTGTAAACACATGTAATGTGATTTTATATATTATAAGGAAATAAAATTAGAAATTTAAAAAAGGCAGATGAAAGAATTCATTATCATGTAGTCTCATTAATTCCAGCATCTACACTTGTTCGTTATGCACTGACAATAGCATAAAATTTGAGTGCAGTATAAAAAAAATTAGCTTAACTTAAAAATCACATCTAAGCCAACAGCATTGATTCAGTTGTTTCCTTGGAACCAGCACCTAAATGAGTGTATGTTGAAAATTGCCGCAGAAGAAATCAAGAGGGAAAACAAAACAATTTGTAATAAAAAAAAAAAAATAATAATAATTTCTGGTTCTGTCAGTTGAGATGTTCATACATGTACAACCTACTAATAATCCTTCCATTTTCATCTCCACCTGATAATATTTAATTAATTCTAACTTTCAAACAATTTATATTATTAAAAAAAAATTAAATAAAATTAAATCTGCTATCAACAACTGGATCACTCCCAATTACCCAGACTGTTCACAAGTATAATCTGATTGTATGATATAGGTTCTCCTTTCATTGTAAAGAATTAACTTCTGTACAAAATTTAAAAATTGTTTGACTTATCGTGTAAAAACAAAGTGTTGATGGATGGACAATGCGATCCTAATTGTTTTCCCGCATTCCATGAAAGGCCCTAAATATCACAAAATAATAAGTATACTTCTTCAAAGAAATTAAGGCATATTGCCTGAATGCAGTTAAGAGGGCTGGGTGTTTGTGGCCATTTTCAGACTATATTGATCTCCTTTAGAAGAAGAGCTCCATATAAAGATATACAAAAATGATCAAATTTTAAAACTAAAATGTATGGAATTTTTGTTTGCCAAATGACAGTTGACAGCTTAAGATATCATATAAAAAAAAATTAAGTTATATATCTGAAGGTCAATTTGTCGACCCCCAGCCTCCTTAAAAAGTATAGCTGTTGCTTGATTTCTGAAACTTTTGAGGGTTTGAGATAATGAAGATGACAATCATATCTTTAATTCCAAAAATTGTCTGTATTAATCACTTTAAAATATCCCTTGTATATTACATTTATTTTAACTGACCAAACCTCAACAGCAATCTTTGTACATGTACATAAAAAAAAACATGAAACCCAACACACCTAATGACAGTTGACCTAACTAGTAAACACCATTAATTTCATTGTATTATAGAGATTGCATGTATCTATTGCTATGTATACATGTGTATATATCTGATGCATGTATATAGCCAGCTAGGACCCAGTCCCAAACAAATCCTTTTAAAATTACCCAAAAATCAAGATGAAAATTCGCTGACAAGCACTGTGTAATTCATCAGAAATCTAAATTTTTGTATTGTAATACTTAATTTATAAACTGAGATGTAAATATTTAAAATTAGGATAAACTTTCAATCTATTTTTAGAGTCTTTACTTTGCAGTAGAATGTATATAAGCTTATTCAGGATATAACTTTGGGCAATACAGCCCATCAGTTTACAAAAATAACATATATTTATAACATACATTACAACATTTAAGACTCTCAGTGAGCCTAAATTGGGGGGTGAAACTTGCAACTTGTACAAGATGTCAATTATCCTGTTCCCAACTCTGGTGTTTCTAGTGGTATATATTTTTGTCCTATTCACAATTCGTATCATTTACTGCATTTATGAGATTGATCACTCTTCCTTATGTTCACGTTTTACATCTCACACCATAAGTTCGAATTGAAACTATATATTGTTATACCTTTAAAAATTTATTCCTATATAAATCAATACTAATAAAAGTCTAACATTTTCAATGTTTTACTGAGCGGGCATAAAAAATCGATGTTTAGCCGCGGAGTAAGATATTGGACCTGTCGATGAGATCTTGGACCGTTTACGTCACATAATGGGCGGGTTCAGCTAAATCTTATTTGCATTCGTTGGTGTTCGACATACATGTATGTCAAAAAGAAAATAATAATAAAATAAATAAATAAAAGGTATAACAAAACATTTATTGATTGTGTTCTCGGGCAAAATGCGTTTTGTCGACCCCTCGAACCAAACTGTTTGCCTACGGCCTCAGGCAAACGGTTTGGTTCTTGGGTCCGACAAAACGCATGTTGCCCTCGAACCAAGTCAATAAATGTATATTTTTATATATTATTATAATAATCTGTATGTTGTAAATAACAACCAAAGGCATACAAGTAACCTGGGAAACTGGTTATTTAAACTTTACATTTGTCCACCTAAGGTGGGGCGGAGGGGGGGGGGGTGGTAGTGGAGCAAGATGGATGGTTTGGAATCCTTATTATTATTAATTTTTATGCATATAGATTAATAGAATTGAAAAATAGACTTTTGTGCGTCGGAAGAGGGGGGGGGGGTTGCAGTCTTTGTCAGAGTATGAAAATCGTACTTTGCCAACTTGCTGTGAAAGAAAACTCAGTTTTAAAAGGAATTTTGTCCTACAACTTTCTTGTTACTTTAAATGGGAAGCGTATTATTAATCATGTACATGTATTTTGTATTTTTTCTTCTATTTAAAAACAACAGCAATTTGATTCTTTGTATTGATTCAAAAAGTTATTAATTGACATTGGTTAATTATTGGTTGATTACTATGAAGACTATATTATCAATTTAAAAAAAATACACTGCAAAGGCCCTGACTTTGTACATGTAACTTGTGTACCATGTAAGCCTGAGATCGGCGATATATATGAAGATGTACATGTGTATAATCATGTTAAAAAATGATAAAGTACTTGGTTTAGTTCTGCAGTTCTTCTAGATTTGCTTTTTACACAGGTATTTCTAGGTTTATCAAATTCTGCTGAGAGTAGAAAAAATGCTTAAATGACCCGTGTAATCAGTATGAAATTGACGTTATTCCCAGGAGAAACTTCCTTAAAAATTGTGCCTTTGTTGTTGTTGTTGCGTGAGCTTTTAAAAATTCTATTCAATTAATTGTTTCCTTAGATGGTGTTTTGTTCATACACACCCATCATAGGAGGAACTTCTTTAAAGTTTGTGCTTTGTGTAGTTTCATGAAACCCTGCTTGAATTCCTTTCATATCGGAATATAGTTTCCGTAAACTGTCATCGATCTGATACCTGTATATAAACTGTAGCTTAAGTTTCGATACTGGTCAAATTCAGCGCATTTTAGAAGAAGAAAGATCATTTCTAATTTCTCACTACTGCATAGAAGACACGGTTTTCGAAATGTTTTGTATAAAAATCGTTGTACTGCTTCTGTGTTTTTTGGCGATTCATGCGCGACTTGGAGAAGACGTTGATGACATCATTGCTGACGCAGTTCAGCTTTCCTACCAAGATCCTCAGCGAAGATTTGGTACCAGGAACGAGAGTAAATTTTTTTTGAAAAATTATTTTAAATTATTTTTTTCTTAATTATTGTTAGTGTGTTTAATAAAAAGAATACTATATTTAATTTCGCATGTTCTGATAAATATAAATAAAAGCACTCGTCAGCTAAAGTGGTGTAATAAACTTGTCAATCCTTATTTTTAAACAAATACTTCAATAAAAGCATACTGCTTGCCATTTTCTTCAGCCACGATGCCTAGAACCGGGAACAGATTCGCTTTTCTGCAGAAACAGCTGGAAGAGGAAGACAGACTAGCCAGGGCGGGATACAAGTATCTCTGTCTCATCAAAAACCTCGTAAACGTGTGAGTTACCTGATAATTAAATTCGTGTTGTGGTGTCTCAACATATTCTTCATATCAAAACCCGCTGAAGTGAAGACGTTTACATTACTGTGAAAAAAATTTATATTCCCTTTTCATTAAACTTTTAAAACGATTTTTAGGCCTTTTAACTGCCGCTAGGGTTCGATGAAAAGAACGATAACCCATTACCGGAACTTGTTTAGAGCGGGTCCGAGGAAGCTAATTGTTTTTAAGGATGTCAAGTTTTAGCATTTCCCAAGTGTTCCTTCACTGACAGGGAAATCCAGTGGTTTTAAAATTTAGTTCAAATGTTCAACTCAATTATCATGTAGTTATAGACACTGTACAATAATATATAAGTGAATTTTTTAATAAAAATATAAGGTGAAATCCATCCCCCTTCTTAATTTTGATCTGATTAAATTTTTATACTTGATCGTTCTTCTTCGTGCTTAATGAAAAGAATAAGATAATTTATTGTTGCATTTAATTGCAGAAATATTTATCTTTATAGATGAAGCACAACAATGCACAAACAAAAAACATAGCATTATATTTTCTTCTTCATAACAACTGTTAGGTAGAGTTAAAAATCTTGAATATAGTCTGTTCCCCATTCACTGATCCCGTTATTCCAGGTATAGACTGAAGGCATTTTCCTTCTTTTTGGTCAACCCTTTTGTGTTCCAAAGAATATAAGGAACCCTTTTGTGTACATAACAATACCAATTGAAGTAGCCTATATGTCATTCCTATAAACGATAACTCAAAAATCGGCACTTTGTTGGTCATGTTTTACATTTGAGTTACCTGTCCTTAAAACACCACATCGTACAAATCAAATATTAATAATTAATTTTTTTATGATTTAATCAAAGGTATGTATAGGTTATAATCTTTTTTAAGAATTTCATGTACCTACAAATATATCTATCAATTGTTTTTTACCATATGTATAACTTGAAAAATTAGTTGAAAGGACTACGATTTTATCTTTGATAACTTATCAAGTACGGAAGCGTATTAGTGCCATTTTTACACTTTTTATTTTTTTTTAAATTTCTACACTTTAATCTGTAAAATTTACACTTTAATCTGTAAATTTTACACTTTAATCTGTACATTTTACACTTAAATCTGTAAAATGTACACTTTAAGCTGTAAAATTTACACTTTAATCTGTAAAATTTACACTTTTATCTGTAAATTTACACTTTTATATGTAAATTTTAAACCCTAAAGTGTAAATTTTACACATAAATCTAAATTTTTTACATTAATCTGTAAGTTTTTCACATTAATCTGAAAATTTTACACTTTAATTTGATAAAGTTATACTGAAATTTGTAATAATAGAACGGTCGTTACATGGTGTTAAACTTATGACAGTTGAAAAATTAGTATAAAACTGAGATGTTCACAAGTGTTTGTATAAAAATTTATACAGGTATATATAATAAGTAAGGATGGGCGATTTGCTCATGGGCCTCGTAATTTCCCCCCAACAAATTATCGGGAATCTGCTTTTCAATCCAGTATATTTAGTATTATAGCAAAGAGCGACGAACAGTTAAAATATATATCTCGAATATTTTTGTCTTTTCATTTGCAGTTTAGATTGATATTGCATGTTTATGAGACTATGATCATGATGTAAAATATATCAGTTAAAATTACGGTCATTTTAGAACGTAACAATAAAGATACGTCATTGAATCAAAGGACATTAATTTCTATGCTGTTCCAAATTAATATAAACTCATATACTTTAACTATTTATACATGTATATACTTTCATAATTAATATAATAATTAAAAAAATATATATAATTATATTAAAAACTTTCAATTCAATAAGTAATTCAATTGTTGTCCGTAATGCATGTAGAATGTAATTCAATTTATGCTTTCAATAATTGAACTGCTGAGCGCATCAAATGATTTGAGTATAATGATATCAATATCATATTCATTAATCGTTGAAAAGATATGTGTGTTTGATTTGCTCTTCACTTCCACTGAATTCATAATTCTTTCAAATATTCTATAGAAATCTCTCTATATCAGTCTTACTGGATTACTTGTATTTGTTTTATATCTATACATATAATATCTGATAATTATTTTCCACATTTATTGTTAATAAGAAATCAAAATTTAGGCCTTTCAACTAATTTTTCAAGTTGCACATATGGTAAAAACCATTTTATAGATAGATCTGTAGGTACGTGAAATTCCCAAAAAAGATAGTAAACTATACATACATTTAATTAAATCCCCCAAAAATTTATCATTAATATTTGATTTGTACGATGTTGTGTTTTAAGGACAAGTAACTCAAGTTTTAAAAAAAAAACTACCAACAAGGTGCCGATTTATGAGTTATCGTTTATAGGAATGACATATAGGTTGCCTCAGTTGGTATTGTTATGTACACAGTAGGTTTCCTTACATTCTTCGGTACACAAAAGGGTTGACCAAAACAAGGGGAATGTCTTCACGCTCCATGAAACAACGGGATCAAATGAATGGGAAACGGACTATGTTCAAGATTTATAACTCTCTCTGACCGTTGGTATGTAGAAGAAAATTTAATGCCATGTATTTTACGTGTGTGTTGTTGTTCTTCATCTATAAAGATAAATATTTCTACAATTAAATGCATCAATAAATTATCTTATTCATTTTACTAAGCACGAAGAAGAAAGACCAAATATAAAAATTCAATCAGGTCAAAATTAAGAAGGGGGTTTGATTTCACTTTATATTTTTATTAAAAATTTTACTTATATATTATTGTGCAGTGTCGTAATTACATGACAAATAAGTTAAACATTTGTGCTAAATTTTCAAACCACTGGATTCCGCTGACAGTGAAGAAACAATTGGAAAATGCTAAAACTTGACATGCTTAGAGACAGTTAGCTTCCTCGGACTCACTGTAAACAAGATCCGGTAATGGGTTATCGTTCTTTTCATCGAACCCTAGCGGCAGTTGAAAGGCCTACAAAATTAAATTTTATCATGCAGGAGTCATGGTCTGTTGGCTTTATAGCGTGTTACTTAAGATGTATGAAGTTGCCAACTTGATTATGTGAAATAAACAGATAAAAGTGTAAATCATACAGATTAAAGTGTAAATTTTACACTTTATTGTGTAATGTGTAAAATTTACAGATTAAAGTGTAAAATTTACACTTAAAGTGTAAATTTTACACATTAAAGTGTACATTTACACTTTAATGTGTAAAATTTACAGATTAAAGTGTAAATTTAACACTTTTATGTGTAAAATTTACAGATTAAAGTGTAAAATTTACACTTTAAAGTGTAAATTTTTCAGATTAAAGTGTACATTTTACGGAATAAAGTGTAAATTTTACAAAATAAAGTGTAAAATTTGCAGATTAAATGTAAATTTTATAGATCGAAGTGTAAAATTTACAGATTAAAGTGTAAAATTTACAGAATAAAGTGTAAAATTTACAGACTAAAGTGTGGAAAATGAAAAATAAAAAAGTGTCCAAGTGGCAATAATACGCTTTCGTAATCAAGACTAGACAAAAAGTACTAACCAAGATATCATCATACATGGAAATGTGCTATAAGGTAATTTTAACTTTTCAATATTTATGCATTTAGTATGCCGTCTTGCATCAGCCAAATCTAAGTAATTAACGAAAGACATTTTTTCACAATTAGAACACATATTGATTATAGCATGTTTTTAATCAGGGAGTCAAAACAAATTGTGGAGAGGGCTTATATAGGCAATTGCTGCTGCCTAATCCATTCATGTTTTATTACATAATAAAATACATTGTATCTTCAAATCAATTATAAATTCCAAGTAATTTCTTGTAAGCAATGTTTTCTGTATTATAGGAAATAAAATATTTTTTTAAACCTTCAAACTAATCAGAAATATGAAAAAGTTAACAGATGTTGTCTTTTTTCAAAACAATGGTCCAGACTTGGAAGAATCGAGGATGTGTTATTAAAACAAGTTTTAAGTAAAAAAAAACACATCAAACTGTGTATTCTATGAGAATACGGTCTGCTAGGTTCCCCCTTTCATAAAACACAAATGCAACAACTATAGGGTACTGCTTCTGACATTGTTGTTCTTAAATGTTTTCAGTTCGGGAAGGAGCAACAGAGATCTGGAAAGAAACAATGAATTCCAAACTTCTTTCCGTAAACAATTATGTGACAAGGTCATTCCGCTGTGTCAAGAATATGAACATTCCAGATTCAGAAGCGCCACCGGTGTGTGTAACAATCTTTTCCATCCAACATGGGGGAAGGCATTGCAGGCTCACGCACGATACCTATTACCGGTCTATGATGATGGTAGGAAAAAAATATGCATTTTCTGCATTCTTTACTAGTTAAAATTATTTTTCATACGTGAATGTTATATGCATAACATCATTCAACCGTGTTGAGTTTTGCAATTGAAAGGATTCACCTTCATTGAATTTAAAATTTTGAGGAACTTCTCGTTCTGCATAATTATAAATAAACAAGCATTCTGAGAGTATTGCATTAGCAATACTAGTCCCCTACCGGCAAGTGTAATCTGGTTCCCGTTAAGAATTGAAAATGCCATAATTCCGTCAAAAATCAATGAAGCGGGACCAAATGCAAACTTGATCTATAGCTATAATCAAGGTAAAGTCACATACCAAAAATCAGCTCAATATCTGAAAGCGTTAAGAAGAAAAATGCGGAAAACCCCTAAAAATTGAAAAGGCCGTAATTCCGTCAATAATCAATGAAGCGGAACGAAATGCAAACTTGATCTGTAACTCATCAAGATACACTCGCATACCAAAAATCAGCTCAAGATCTGCTAGCGTATAGGAAAAAAGTGCGGAAAACCAAGTGGGACAGACTGACAGACAGACAGAGGGACAGACAGACGGACGGACAGACGGACGGACAGACTCAGAGGAAACCTATAGTCCCCTCCGGTTTCACCGGTAGGGGACTAATAAACAATGACAAAATTACAATGGTGATTGTTGAATAAGTTTATGAAATCATCACAAATTTGGGATAATCCATCGAGAAAGTACTATATCCTATATTATAGACTGATGGGGTTGTAGGTAACGTAGCTCTTAGGTAATTGTGGTTGTAGTAATATTAGTTTATTCAGGATATAACTTTGGGCAATACAGCCCATCAGTTTACAAAAATAACATATAATAACATATATTACAGAATTTAAGACTCTCAGTGAGCCTAAATTTGGGGGGGGGGGGGGGGGGGAGACCCCTGGTCAAGTGTTTCTCAGTCCCACAGTTCAATTCATTTATAGTATACAATTATATATTGAACAAATTAAGTACAATACAATAAGCAGTACAATACATAATTCAAAGTTATAATACAATATATAGCAATGATGCTTTAATGTACAGACATCTGAAAATATAAACCTTACACAGATAGAAATTAGGTTAACCTGATTGATCTTCGTTACGTAATATTAGAGCATATAATGAATATATTTCCCTAAACCAACCAAGGTAGATATGCGGTTGGTACCCAACAATTGGATTAATTTAAAAGTACTTGGCGATTTGTAATAATATTCATTTATATATTTTTTTCTTAAATTTAGATATCTAGGCATTGAAGAATGAAATGGAATTCGTCTTCTATTTCACGTGTATTACAAACATCGCATAATCTATCCTCTCTACTTTTGCCTTGGTACCTTCCGCATTCTATGTTAAGATAGTGAGACGAAAGTCTAATGCGGGAAATATATATTTTTTTAAATTACTCTGAAAAGGTTTTGTTAAATAGGATTGCATTTTAAAGAAGTCAGATTGGACAATATGTTTATATAGAGAGCATTTTGACGAATTATCCATAAATGCAGTGCACTCTTGGAGGTATATATCTAGGATTCTATTTTTATACACGAGCATAAAATGAGCAAAGTTTATTGCTTGCTGTTTTATCTAAAATTCTCCCAGATCCAATCTAAATAGTTCAAATTTTTACATCACATTGTAGCTAGGTTATTATGAATGGCATCAGTATAATTTCAATGCCATGCAAAGAGCGACAAGAATGGAAGTAAGCATAATTCGAAGAATAGACTATTGGATGTTTTACCTTAGCAGGTGCAGTTTGCATTCTCAGACCTTAATTTTAACTTTTATCTATTTCATAAAAAAACATCGAAGAATTAAACCTTTTGTATCAACCAAACAATCCTATTCAGGCAACCGGATAAAATCAGCTGGGTCCATACATGGGTTTTAAATGAGCCCAGAACAGGGCTCGATGATAGAAAAACCTTTTCACGTTTAAAAAAGACAAAATGTTCGATTATTTACATAAAGTTTCATTTTATTTTAGGTTATAATAGTCCTCGGGAAAGGAACAGAAATGGAGGGAAACTTCCCAGTCCAAGAGAAATAAGTAACAAAGTTTTTGAGGGAGGTGCAAACACCCCTACAGACAGCAAACACAACTTGATACTTTTTGCCTTTGGACAGTTTCTAGACCATGACTTAACATTTACCCCAATCGCTATTGGTAAATTTTAATTCTAATTCCTTTTATGTTAATCACCTTTCCTACCTTTTGATCAACAGATAACACAATCATTTTAGAATTTCATCTCTGCTTAAAATATTTTTCATTCAATATGTCAAATTATAATTTTACATAAATTTTGATTTAAAATCAATCGGTAAATGATTTTAGTATCATACAGGTACAAGATAGAATTATATGTTAGATTTATATATAATCAATTTCAATTCCATAAAGCTTTGAATATTTACGTATGTTTACATTATGCTCTCAAGTCTGAATCTGCACCAGTCTGGTTGCTTCAAGCATAACTTGTTACATCCTCACAATGTCAGGAGCCCTGAGTCCATTCTCAGCCATGGGATCCCTGACAAACTTTATACGAATTTTTACGTGCTAACTGCATCGACGTCTTTCAGGATGATTACAAATTATGATTCTTTTCTTACCATACCTTTTGGTGACAAACAACTTGTACACCCATATTGAGGTGTCAGCTTCTTATTTTCTGTTTACTTTTTATGTCCACTTTTGAAAACCCCAATTTGATTTGTGCTTCACAATGAGAGAAGCTGGCCCAATAAAAATGTATAGAAATTTGTCAGGGAACCAATGGCAACGAGTGGATTAAGGTACCCTCGTGTTATGAGGATGATCGTCTAATTTATCTTCTCTTTCATGAAGGAAGCAATGGCAAACCTCTTGATTGTTGTGGAGCGGACAAGTCGGAGTAAGTGTCCTTACAATAATTGATGTCTGATATATGAAAATATATGATTATATAAAATAATTGTATATATAGTTACCTTGTCTTGGTTAAAACCATGGTGCAATTCCAGGTGTGTAGCTCTAGTGTCTCAAGGGGGGATAGTGGCCTTGACATTTAAACCTTGAACTTTTAATGATGATACACTTGTTAATTGATGGCCATCTCTAACTTCTTTGATTGCCAATAAATCTTGAAAATATTATTATTATATATAAAGACTAGATAACTCTACTTCCTCGATGTTGATTATTTGAAATATTAGTGGACATATTACACTGTATTCTGACGCTGTGAAAAATAACTTGCAAGGTTTTGTATAGAAATAATTCATTGTTCTATATTTGGATATGGAAATTATTTCTCGAGTGGTATGTGATTTTCTTAAATCTTTTCACGAATGTACATACATCATAAATCCTTTTTCACGAGAGAAATAAATTCAATAACCAACAAAAAAATATTGAATTTTCTGTTTAGTAGACGTTCTTTGTTTTTCCTATTGCACCTGTCTTTTCATAATGCAATGTCGTAGGCTTTGCCGTCACGTAGCTCAGTGGTTGTGAGATTATAAGGGATTGTGAGAGCGGAGAGTATAAACTTAGATTTTTATAACAATTTGGAGGAACTATGACAGTTTAGTTTAAATCCGTGTCTGGATGACATATTTACACTCCTACTATAAACAGGATTTTTGTTATAAACTATTCATAAAAGGAGGGAAATTCGAGAGGTTTTCCTAGATTTTTTTAATTTTTACTAATGAAAATATCATCTTGATATTTTCACTGGAAAAATATCACTTTCGAAAATGAAACTTTAATTCAAGGAATAAATTAAAGCATTTCACTGCTGAAAATGTAATAAAACTTAATTTTTCGATTACCTTTTTTCAGCCCTGAATGTATTGCAATAGACATTCCAGCAAATGACAATCGGTTTCGTAACAGAACGTGCATGGACCTGTCCCGGTCTATACCTGCTCCATTTGATGAGGGCTGTAGTATAGGTGAGTGATCTTTATTTACAATTGTTTTGTAGCTTGTTTAGTCCTTGTTACTGAGAATTATCAAATAGATTTAAGTACTGTAGTTTAAAACAATGCCATAAATTATTTAAATTTTCACCGCATAAACGTGCACAAATAAATGTTGAGGAACACTAATTTGCATTGATTTTTAACATTCACTCGTTCTATCATATATTAGATATCCTAATCTACTGCTGTAGAGTTCGCTTATTTAATAATAAGGCGGGATATCTGAAGGAAATATCAAATTTATTTTATCCAGACAATAGCCCGTCTATATTTCGTATTGAACATCGTAGGATCTTTAGCACTATATATGTACATGCATGTTTGATTTTTACAACAGAACGAAAAGGAGGGATTCTTGTCTGGTTTCTGAATAAATGAAATATTCAATTTAAGTATCTTTGTTTATGTGTCTTTAATATCAAAATGTTAGGGATTTAAAAGATCATTTTGTCTTATAAATGTAACATTTAAAAAAAAGAGTTTGAAATCTAGCAGTGATTATATTTTTGGCGGATGAGTATGTCTCCTTTCCTGCTTCTTAAAATTATTAAAGGCTTATGAGTTTAGTCAATACTTTTAAACAATCAAAGGTATAATAAAAGGAATTTTCTGAAGTCACTCAAATTAGTAATCGTGGACCATAACTTTGAAATATATCAAAGAAATATGATTTTCTAAAGCAATATTGTTTGATTTTGAAAGTTTCAAATCTAAGAACAGATTGGGAAAAAAATCAGTAAAATGTGTTTTCTTCTTTCAGTAAACATTTTGCTTTTTGTATCACTTTGTGTATTTATATAACAACTTCATATGTGAAAAGCCGAAACAAAAAAAAAATGAATAAATAAATAAAATATTAATAATAATAAAATCTAAATAAATCAAGCAAATCAAAACCATTAATGTTCCCCAAAATTGAAAAAAGAAATATAGGAAATTCCAGTTATTAATTCCAGTTTAATTTTTTATCTCAATTGTAGGCCCTATATCATTTTAAATGCCAAAAATTAATTATGAATTTGTAGTAGACATCACAGTATTTTTTATTTCTAATATCAGGGAAAAAAATATCCTTGACCTGACCTTTCTTCAAAATGAAATTGTCAATTTTAATTTAGTTGATCCTAAATTGTTTTCTTGAATCTGTAAACATTTTATAAATTTTTTAAATACAATAAATATGAGAAGAATCCCTCTTTAAGGTGAAATTAAAAATATACATAATTGGATTAGGAAAAAACTTTAAAGTAGAGGCAACATGCAATACATGTATAATTATGCATTATGTGTCTTAATTTTTTTCCCATTGATTATAGGGTACAGAGAACAAGTGAACCGTATTTCCTCCTTCATTGATGCAGGAATGATATACGGAGACTCAAAACTTTTTCATGAGAATCTAAATGGACGTGTTGGTTTGTTAATATTTTGGTTTGTTATTTTATGACAATTAATGATATGAATTATATCTGAGACGACTTTGAGCAAATACCATTCAATAAATCAATTCCTTGGGGGCCTTTTGATTTTAACTACGGAATCAATTTATTTTGGAATTCTAGATATCAACAATTATATCTGAGTAAATTTAAACAGATATTACCTTGTACCTTAAATTTGAAATTAATGTAAATGTTTGACGGTAACTATAGGAACCCTGAGGACCTCCAAAGGTGACCTTCTTCCTCCTGGAGGTGCCTGTGAGATTTCACAACCTGAGGACTTCTGCCAACTGGGCGGTAAGCTCTTTATACCACACATTATACCTGATAGTGTTAGACATTTTAGAATCAATGTAAAATCCCACACAATATCAATCAATCAAAATTAATTGTAATTACTTATTATAATTGAACGAACTGATGAAAAAACATCCCTAAAGTTAGACTCGATGGGAGGTTCTTCTTTTTATGTAAACGGGGCATTTTATCTCATCTGGGCCAGAGGCTGAAATAAGTTTATCTTAAACTGGTCATCTTATGTGATCTAGCTGACAACGTCAATTTCGTCCGGTATTTGTTAAGTTTCAACACTTTCAACTTCTTTTCAAGAAACACATGACTATTTTCAAACACTTGGAACAAGGTTTTCCTTGGGTTTAAGATATGAAGTGTGTTCAAACGAAGCATATTTGATCAGATTTTATCCAAGACATATTTTATCATCTAAAACCAGACCTTGAAATATTACGACAGGCAAATAAATATTCTTTACCAAAGAAAGCAAAATGAGTTTTTAAAAATCGACCAGATGAGGGTAGCGATTATGCCCCAGCACTCTGCTATGGAAAACAAAGCATTGTTAAGCAAATTAAAAGTGTTTCGAACAACGATAGCAATAATGTTTTATAGGTTACATTTACAGGGATGACCCTTCATCGACCCTAGGATTTACTGTACATGTACTTAAAAAAGCGGGCTTCATATTTTAACGGCTTTGGCGCAGACAACGATGCGCTAATTCATGAATACCGGTAAGAAATCATTTATAAAAACAGTATACGGCACGGACATGTATAGCGCTAATTCATGATTTCGCCAACAACTCCATACCCAGTGATTGCGCTAAATTTTTAATACGTCAATTTATGTACATGTACAGTATTTAGTCCTCTTGTTTTCTCTTTTTATGCCCCCGGATCGAAAGATCCCGGGGGTATATTGTTTTTGTCCTGTCTGTCTGTTTGTCTGTTTATCTGTTTGTCTGTTTGTTTGTCTGTTTGTCTGTCTGTCTGTTGTCAACTTTAACTTTGCCCATAACTTTTGATTGGTTGGAGCTATTACTTTCATATTTCACATGTGTATTCCTTGTGACAAGACCTTTCTTTGGGTACCATCATATTTGACCTTTTGACCTTGACCTTGGAGTTTGACCCACTTTTGCAAAATTTTATGAGACTTTAACCTTGGCCATAACTTCTGAACAGTTGGTGCTTGGGGTTTCAAACTTCACATGTGTATTCTTTGTGACAAGGCCTTCCTTTGGATACCAACAACTTTGACCTTTTGACCTTGACCTTGGACTTTGACCTACTTTTGAAAAACTTTAACCTTGGCCATAACTTTTGAACAGTTGGTGCTTAGGGTTTCAAACTTCACATGTGTATTCCTTGTGACAAGACCTTCCTCTGGATATCAACCACTTAGACCCTTTGACCTTGACCTAGGAGTTTGACCTACTTCTGAAAAACTTTAACCTTGGCCATAACTTTCGAAAGGTTGGTGTTAGGGCTTTCATACTTCACATATGTAATCCTTGTGACAAGACCTTCCTTTGAATACCAACCACTTTGACCTTTTGACCTTGACCTAGGAGTTTGACCTACTTTTGAAAAACTTTAACCTTGGCCATAACTTTTAAATGGTTGATGCTAGGGCTTTCATTCTTCACATATTTAATCATTGTGACAAGACCTTCCTTTGGATACTAACCACTTTGACCCTTTGACCTTGACCTAGGAGTTTGACCTACTTTTGAAAAACTTTAACCTTGGCCATAACTTTTGAATGGTTGGTGCTAGGGCTTTCATAATTCACATATGTAATCCTTCTGACAAGATCTTCCTTTGGTACCAACCACTTTAACCTTGACCTTGACGTTTGACTTTTATTTAAAAAACTTTAACCTTCGCCATAACTTTTGAACAGTTGTATCTAGGTCTTTCAAATTTCACAGGTGTATTCCTCAAGACAAGATCTTTCTTTGGGTATCAACATTTTTTATCTTTTGGCCTGGATTTTGACTTGCATTTGAGAAACTTAAACCTTCGCCATAAGCTGCCATACGGGGGCATCAGTGTTTCACAAACACATCTTGTTTTTTTTTTTTTTTTTTTTTTGGAAAGGAATTCTTTTCAAAAAATCGGCTTTGCAATTCCAACAAGAGATACGCTTTTTAACTTTTAGTAATTTATTTAAAACGTGTTCAGTATTCAATAACGGTCAGTCTGACACAATAGCCTGTTTGATGATTGGTCCTTGATTTCATTAATGAAACAACATAGGATTCCTTTTTGCAAGGGTACTTAAGTATTATTTCGGTACATGTATCTATAACAGCCAATAAATATAAGCAGAGATCTATACAGTCGAATATTTACTTTACAAAGAATAATCAACGATATTTTATACAGAATTAAGGTTCACTGACCCTCTTAAAAGAGACATGATAACTCTCACTGAGATAAATAACTATTTCTTTCTTTAATTTCAAGTTAAAAATTCTTTTTTGTACCCACTTTTTTCCCCAAAATAACTTGTTTTTAATGTGTACTGAAAGTTTTCTAGAACTATTTATTGAAAAGAAATTTGCATCGATTGTTTGTTCACTTCCTAGGCATGTTGAATTGATGAAGGCACCATAGATATGGTTCAAAGCTTCTTTTATAAAGTTATGTGCACAAAATCTAAAATTGAATTCCACATATTTATAACAATGTTGTAATGAATTTTTTTAATCGGCTACCTTGAGGGTTTAGAGATGGGGAAAATTCCTCAGGTGAACGATGTGGCCCATGGACCCTCTCGTAATTTTTGACATTCTCTTGTAGTATTAAACTTTTTAGTAGTAAACTTATCATTAAAGGAGATTTATGTTGGATAATGCAATCAACATAATCAAAAAACTTTCAATGTGAAAAATCAGTTCTAAATAATAATACATATTAATATTCAGAGAGTGTTTCTAATACGTGTACATACAATTTATTATAATTATATTGATGTAGAATACACAGTTCAAATTATGAAAAGTACTTTTGTAAATTTGAACTGGGAAAATTTAAAATTAAAGAAAATTGCGTTGCAGGTGATGAAAGGGTAAATGAAGTTCCGTCTTTGAGTGGATTACACGTAATATTTCTCCGCTTCCATAACATCCTAGCAAAAGCTTTAAAAAGAAAAACCCACCAAACAAGCCAAGAGGTGTTCCTGGAAACAAAGAAAATCATGGGCGCCATTATACAGCAGATAACATACGGAGAATACCTTCCGATCCTGTTGGGTGGAACGACCCGAGCAATTCTGGATTTGAACCTTCAGCCAACTGGTTTTTGGGACAGGTATGACCCATTTGTGAATCCAACCGTGAAGAATGTCATCGCCACGGCAGCTCTTAGATACGGACACTCGCAGGTTCGCTTGTTTGTTTTTAAACTCATGTCTTACCTTATTATCATTGTATATAGGTTAGATTTTTAGACTCTACGAATTCCCTGTTCATAATCATATATCAATTTTTTTAACAAAACGGATATACCCCCCCCCCCCTCTCAAAACAACAACACTTGTCATCATCAAATGATCTTGATGACATGCCAACCGCTAGTCTATGACCTCTTTTGCATGCCAATCACTCGATGTCGATTGATGACATATCCATCAATGTATGTCCTTAATGATATGTCCTTCACTATATGACCTTGATGGCAACCATCAATACATATTCATCACTATATGACCTTGGTGACATATCCATCACTTTATGACCTTGATGTCATATTCATCACTATATGACCTTAATGACATCCATCACTTTGTGTCCTTGTTGACATTTCCATCACTTTATGACCTTAATAACATAACTATAACTATATGGCCTTGAATTCATGTCCATCACTATTGACCTTAATGAATGTATCACTACGTACACGTAAGAGATGTAAGAAAAATAAATTAACAGGTTAAAATTATATTAATCATCAGATACCAAAGATACTATGTTTGACGCATTGTAAATTACAGCATCTCATAGATAATTGACCTTGAATTCAAAGACATTGGCGTGGTCATATTCATGACTCGTTTGACAACGCAATATTTACCCTTGAATCAATTCCATTCAATAAAGGTCTGAAGGTCTCAAGTGACGTTTACTTGAAAATAACGTTAGTTTTAAAAAAGAAGATTCATTTTTTTATTTTGCTTAAGGGTTATAATAGACAACTGCTCTTGACTTGATTAGGTAGAACCCATCCTTTTGATATAACTCTGACATCACAATACAATTACAATGTACATTGCAGATACCCCCAGAGCTTGGGTACATGACACGGAAGTTTGCCACGTCTAGAGTTTTTAAAACAGAAGATGTCCTAATGGATCCACACATGGTAGTCACGAAAAACGGGAAAAACATACCCGATTTAACACGATTTCTCTTAGCCACGCCCTCCAGAAAAGTTGACAGGTACAAAATGCATTAAACTTTATTTTTACACCAGAGCTGTTTAAGCAGTTATTTTAAAGCAACCACTTAATTGTTTTTATTTTGAATTCTACACATATATTTAAGGAAAGAACGTTTAGATGTGGATACCATTAGTCTTTGAAGAATTCGTTATACTGAGATCACTTTGGAAAATGGGGGGGGGGGGGGAGTTAATTAAGAATATGCAAATTTGATAAATTTACATTTTTTTGACTATTTCAGGGAAGTTGAAAATGCTGTCAGGAATGAATTGTTCCGTGACATGAATGGGGTAACCTTTGATCTGATGTCATTTAACATCCAGAGGGGACGAGATCATGGTCTTCAAGCTTACAACGCATGGAGAAAGTGGTGTAATCTTCCAGTGGCGCTATCTTTTACAGAATTATATGATCATAACTATGATAGCAGGATGCGGCTGGAACAAGCTTATGAGTAAGACCTGTAAAATTTAGACTTACATTTACGAGTAATATGTAGGGTTATGTCAAATCAAACATTTCCGATTCAGGTGCCTAGGAGGAGAAAACATCCCTTGTAGACCGGTCACACCAACCGTGAGTTCTCTGTATATATCAGGCAAACGGAGTATTTCGTAGTAAAAATTTGTATAAATACAAGGTCTAGAATTGGCAATAAACAAAATACTCAAAATACTACCCAACAATAGTTGTATTTGCATACCAATTCGTCCTTATATACTTGTAGTTTATATAGAATTTGCGAAATGCTTACTTTACTGTGGAATATGTTGCAAGTTTCTCCTTCAAAACAAATTTTCGTTTGTATTTTTGTTTTTTGAGGAGACTAAAAGATAAATAGGGACTTGGTGGAACATGCTTTATACTGTATAATGAATCGTGCAATGTATCTATGTAGAGATTTTTATGAAGTTTTAGAATCCAGTGTAGGTCCGGTAAATCAAATTCTCTTTCGTTGACTGGAATGTTAGAAGTATTTGAAACTAAAATGTGATTTTGAAGAATTTAATCTGTTGTAAGGACACCCTGAGTATAAGTTAGATTATCTGATGTGGAATTAAAGCCAGGTTCATTCTAAAATGCATTTGTATGATTGTGTCTTGCATAGAATATTTTGATGCAAATAATATTTCCCTGGGAACCAAGCACTTCTACAGTATGAGTTATGTGAAAGGTGTAAAGTTTCACAAAGTAATTTGAAACGTCAGTTGCTATTTTGCAAAAGGATAGTAAAGTTGTGTAGTTAACAATTTTTAGCATTATTAGTTACTCGAAAGGTTTAAAGTCATATTCTAAATATATTCGTTGTTTGTGGCTAGCCATCATTGAGTAGGAATTCCAATCGTTATTAATTTGCCGTTATTATTAGCAGACCTGTTTTTGAATGCCTTTGAAGCAAAATTTATTGAAAAACATCTTCATGAAAAGAAGTCTCTTGCTGTGGCCATCATCTTCATTGTTTATGTAGCAATATACATGTACCATTAACACTTGCATATGAGGTTTATGTCTCCCAGTTGATTCGATACTGAAGAGCATGTTCTTCGTACCATCAATTTCTAAAAAGAGGCAGGAAATTAATAAATAAGCTGAAAATACAAGGATATCAACAATTTCAAATGAAGTCTGCTTTCGAAAATTCTATGGTATATACAATCATAACCTTGTTTGCATATACAATCTGTCATTAAGTAATGTTGACTTACGTCTTCCATTCGAATTGTCAGGCTATTATTATTACACTTAATTGGTAAGATTTTTCCGCTTACCCGAACATGACAAAGATACACGGCGAGTGTGGCTGGTCGACAAGGGATGTTCGCCTCTCTTTGGAACCTGATCCCACCTCTGTTATCAGAGTCCGTGTTTGCTCTGCTCACAATTTTATTGTTGAATTGGATTTTGAGCATATTGTTCGTTATCTTCACATTCAATTTAAAGCATTTGGGGAATTTTGCCTTTTTTTAAAAAAAATATGAAAAATGAAAGCTTGGAGTTTGTTTATCTGGTACCCTGCTGAATATCCTCCACTACCTTTTATGATCATTGCACCATCCTCTATAATTCTGATGAAGTTAATAAAGAATTTCTTTACTTACTGTAGAGATGTTGATGATATCGATGTGTTCGTCGGGGGTATCACCGAGACACCTCGCGATGACGCACTTGTTGGGCCTCTTTTTGAATGCCTGCTAGGAAATCAGTTCAGGGACCTTAAGTTTGGAGACAGATATTGGTACGAAAAAAGTGGAACAGAGGGATTCTCTATAGGTATAGACTAGTACCGATATTTGAAAAAAAAAGCTTTCCTGATATATTTTCAATACTAAATGTATGCTATCGAATGTAAATAGGTAAAGAAAATAATTTATGTACATGTATTTTGTGTAAATATTCAAAAAAAGGAGCTACATGTATACTTTGTTTCTGTTGTGTCATATGTAAGTTTATTCATTCGGCACACTCTATAATTTCTTTTGAACCGTAAGAGAATTTTGATATTTAGCTAATTGACGTTTTTCGCCTTTTCTAAAACGTCTGGACCGCTAATATCTACACCATTGACCTGCTCCCTCTTTAACAGAATATCTTATAAACAATCAGAAATACATTTCAAAAACATGCTGGCAAGCATTGATAATTTCTGGAAAAAAATCCTTATTTTCTTTTAGATTTTTTTTAGGCAGGACTTTGATATGAATAAATATGGCATGTATTTCTTGTCATCGGTCCTTCTAAAACAAACCAGCAATCATGTTTTCGTGACTTTTATCGAGACCTTTGACATAGTTACATGTATATGAATGAATTCAATTTTGTTGATATTTCTAACCCTGGTAAATTGAGCTTTGATACGGCAAGATCTATTTAGAATATGACATTTATTCAAAATGCAGGAGTTACCTTAAAGTTTTCTCTTCATTTATCCCAATCCTTCTTTGTTTTAATGAGTCACATATCTTGCTTTTACATTTGCAAATGGTAGAAATTTAATAAAGGGGATGAATATTTCTTACTTTACGTCTTTCAGGAATTGCAGGGTTTACCAACCACTTCGTGCCGTGAAATGGACCTTGACGATTTATCTTCTTTTTTTGAAATTAAAATAAAAATATCTGCGTGTGATTAGGGCCTCAGTTTAGCACAGACGACCTATAGAGAAAATTGGTGCCTAATATTGTTTACTTTTATCATTTACCTGCTTTCCTTGATATGATTTAGAAAGTATCTTTGTATGAATTTAACCTTACCTCGTAGATGTTAAGCAAACACAACAGTTACACATTTATTTACAAACTCAGTTGCCTCAAGTAAACACTTTTCCTTGGAAAACACAAGTTTACATTTCATAATTGCAGGACAACTAAATGAAATCAGGAAACTGACCTTGTCTAAAATCATCTGCGATGCGCTGAATTTGAATAAGATACAAAGGAATTCCTTTTTCTTGCCTGGATTAAGGTAATATAATTATATCTTTATATATATATATATATATATATATATATATATATATATATATATATATATATATATATATATATATATATATATATATATATATACTTGTATATATATCGAGAGTCTGAACTATGCTATAGTGTTAAAATACAGTTTACTAAGCCCAAACTTGTAATTCCGTCCAAAATCATCGAAGCGGAACGAAATGCAAACTTGATCTGTAACTCATCATCTTCATATCATGTTAATCATACCTGCATTTATATTTAATCATCTCAATATTCGTAGCTTCAAATCCAGTTTATTCACAGCCACTTAGAACAATAATTTGTTGGTTTTACTTTTCATGGGTATATAAAGAGAAAAAAGCTTTCAGAAATACGTACTCTGATGACAAATATCATGGTCAAGGTAAGCGTTGTGGCCCAAATGCTTCTTACTTTTATTTGCATGGGAGAGGGCTGAAAAGCTCCTGTATCGGCTATTGAAAGCAGAGCAGTATTAGAAAACTGTTAAAATGCATAAAAGGTCGGGAGGGCTAAATGTCCATCTTTGAAACAAGAGATCTCGTTTGGTCGTTTAAGCTTTTTTTATCGATGTTTGTATAATTATGCATTGTATACATATTTTTTTCTTTGACAGTAATCCTTTAGTGACGTGTTCATCCTTACCATCCCTGGACTTTTCTGAGTGGGGAGACGCAGCTGCTCCACCACAGTACCATTGACTGGGGAACTTTTCACACTAAAAGATGAAAGATTTTTCTTCCGTATAGTATTACTATGTGTTAATTGATAATTTTATTCTCTAATACACGTAAAACCTCTGTGTAGTGACAAGATGTTTTACTTCATTACAAAATTCTCTGATTAAAATGAAACATTGGGATTTCATTCCACCATCTGTTGACTTATTTAACAAACACGGAGCAAATAAAGTTAGTGTTTAACATTTGCTTTTTGTAATAAAAATCCTCAATTTTATTATACTTTTAATTGTCTTTTTTTTATATATATATTTTAAAATGTGTGTTGATGATAAGAAAATAGCAATCTCTCTCTTTCTCAATATGCAATTTTTCTCTACAAATTATGTCGACATGAACATTGTGCATTTCCTGTTTGGTATGCTTGCGGTTTTTCTTTTTTATGAAGGAAACTGAAAATGAAATAAAGTTTTATCGATGAAAATACCTCTGAAATATTTTAGACAGTTCCACCATGGTTAAGGGGTGGGTATGGGGAAGGTATCTTATAGATCCTTGTCATATTCTCAATCAGAGAGACTTTGTATTGATTTCCTTTCAGTACTTTACGTTTTAAAATAAAAAAAATGTACATATACCTTGATACATTATCAGAAAATTGATTTTGAGATCATGTTCAATAGATGTCGATAAAGAACATATAAGCAAATCAGTAGGTAAACAAACAACTATACAATAAAATTAATATTCTTTTACATATTTTAAAGACATTTTGATAGTTGGTACAAAAAGTATACTCAAATATTTAACATTATCACAGATTTACCGTGTGTCCCCCCCCCCCCCCCCAATCATTTTAATATGCTTTAAAAAATATTTCTTACAGTCATTTTTTATGCTTCCTAAAAAACCGACTATACAGACCGATTTATGAACATGATTGACGGGGAAATCATACATTTTGGACAAATTAGCGGTCTATATTTAGTAAATATAAACATGCTATCCACATTTTAGGTCCATGTGAACATCTGTGTCTAACATTTGATGTTACTTTTTAATAAAGGACAAGGTGCGTTTGGTGCAAAATTCGGCCCCGTGTCAAAATTAAATAGTATTCCTCAAAACTCTTTTTTTTTTTAACAAGCATATATCCAACCTTTAATTTCAATGTAAAGTTTTGATTCAGCATAAACTTTAATTTTTAGAAATTCTGAGGGCCAAATAATATATCAAGTGAACCTTGTCCTTTAAGAAAAGGGGATTTGTCATGTACCAGTGAAGTTTGAAATAAAATTTTAGTTTCCGAAAAAGGTTTCGAGTACATTCGACTATCGTTCGAATAATGCAATCGAATATTCGACTAAAGAAATCTTTTGACATGTCATCCCTAAAAAAAAAAGGAGCCATGTGTCATACATGTATGTCGTTGAGCTCACTCTTAATCTCAGTCTCACTTTTCCAATAATAATTCCTTTTTTAAAAGTGAGACTGGGATAAAAATAGAGCTCGTCTAAGTTTTATGGCCTCGGAGCTACATTAATCAATGATACCGCTAGCATTTAATACAGTCAAAAAACCCTCTCTTTTTGATTTTTCTTTTGGCCAAAAGCAGGCCCATTTAGACATTTTTTTTTCAACTAAATTGGTATAATTTATTTTATTTAATCATATGCAGCATTGTAGACACAACATATCTTCAGATCTGTAGCACACTAAACGAAAATGATGTTCAGATAACTAAAGATCCATGTATTTTTTCTAAGCAAAAAATGTACAAAATTTTAGAGCTCATTCTCCGCATTTAAAGACAGTCATATTAAAATGTAACAAGCCCTTTTTCTTATTGATTTACTGCATATATATGCTTTCAAAATCAAATCAATCCCAAGATAATTGTAAAAAGCCCTTTTGTGCATTTGCTTGAAACTATTTCCAATGTCCTTTTCTCCAAATAAATTTATTGTGCTTGTAAATATGTGTAATACCAATGAAGTGCAAAAATGGAATTCAAACCATTCTTTTCAATCATATTATTTTTCAAAAGCAAAAATTGAATTTCCAAACTGATTTTAATTCTTTCTCTTTAAAATACCCCAAGTCAAAGTACATCATAACCACTTCAATCATCAGTTAATGAGTCCGTCAGTTAACGCCTGCCCGAAAATTTCATATTTAAAGAAAGGCAATCATACCGCATTCTAAAATCTGACTTATCAAATAGACAGTGGATTAGGAGATCCGTGATTTTAGTGATGGATTTAGTCCAGCAATTCAAAATCTATAGCAGTAAGGTTTCAAGATTGAAGGGAAATTATGGATACAACTATCAAAATACTTTGCATAAATGTAACGAGGGGACAAAAGGAAAAAAAAAAACTTATATAAATGTAATTACAATTTTAAAAAGTATCCTCTTTTTAGGAAGATTTCACTTATAACACCTTTAATGAAATAAATGCTTCCGCCACAAGCCCATCCGCGACCGAAGATTATATAATATACATGAACATGTATTTCAAATATGAAAAAAAGATTAACGAATTTCTTAATCAAGTAAATACAGAAAAACGAATTTGTAAACTAAGGGACCAACCTACTAACCTGGACCCAAAATTTAAGGAAACATCACTTCTCCCTCAGAGAAATTTAGGGAGAAGTTTTAAATTCTACGGAGACTTCTTAGTGCACATTGATCATTATTTAAACTTTAAAAAATTAAATACATGTTAATGTATATACCTTAAATAAAATTATATCCTAAGAATACTTAAAGAGACAAAAAGGTATAGTAAAAAAAAAATGATTATTTGATATTTTCTAATTGCAAGGCATACAAATGTCTACCTGGAAAACAAACTTTGTCAATCTAAAGTATTCAACTGATAGACTTAGGTTTATCAAAGTTATTTCATTTCTTGCATAGTTTATTTACATAATATTTACACTTAAGATTAAAACATCATCTCTTTTCATCTCTCCATATTTTCAGAGCCTTATCAAGGTAGCAAATTTGTTACATTCTCTTCAAAGTTCACTTCTAAATTCCTTATTATTTCTTTTTTGTGAATGTGTATTTATTAATAAATGAAAACAAAGAATAATATATTAATTAGTATATTATGAAAACTAGTAGATCTTCTTCTGCATGTCGACTGAGCGACTTTACCACACAATTACCTTTATTACATAAAAAAATGAAATGTGAAGAAACTGAACGGAGATTATTTTCAAATGCCCATTTACAAAATACAAATTATAAACAGAGCCAACAAGGACCTCTGAAAACAAATGTGGGACCAGGTAAAGTTCTTTGCAGAGTACCAGATACTATTACATTCTGTGTTGACTGCCCTCATGTGGCTAGTCTACTCTGGTTGGCGTTTTGGTGGTTTTGGCAAACTTTGTTTACTTTCTGAAGGCATCTATTTATGTTTTATTTTTGAACGCCAACTTTTTGCTTGTAGAGTACATGGCAACGAATGAGTCATGATTTTATCTTTCCACTATAAATTTAATTGAAATATGCATTTTTCTAAAATATTACTGCTGAGCTATTTGTTATTCGTTTTTAAGACTAAAACAACATAAAATGTAAGTAAAATTCTTTGTAGTTTCTTCTCATGATTTCAAAATAATTTTATCTGTAGGTACTGCGGTGATATCACATGTCAAATGCGACATGTGATATCACTGCAGTCATGTTCGTTAAAGTTATTTCTTTAAGAAGTTTCACTCTGCAGCAAGATAAAAGTAGTAGAGTTAAGAAACTTTTCTAAAATCAATAAATAAACTTCAAAACATATACACTCATAATATGGCATTTATTAAATTATCACAGAAATTGATGAAATCCATTACACAATAGAGTTATCCAAATGCTAACACACTCTCAATTACATTATTGCCTTAACAGTTACCACTGATGGGTTATTTCAGGACTGGTTGCAACAACCTACATTGCAAGTAGGACATAATTGGCATATTAATATTGTTAGCTTAAATTTGTAAGCAAAGTTCGATGTTATTATTTTATTCAGAATACGTGTAAATATTAATTTACAAACAAAATACTGTATAAAGATTTATCTTACATGTATTTATACAGGTAATACTGGGGGAGGGGGTGCCCCCGGAACAATTCCTACATGTGGAACATCTAGTTTATTTATTTCAGAAAAATCATCAACTACTTGTGGATCTAAAGAAGAGATGATACGTTCTCTAATACTTGTAGCATCTTCATATATACGAAGAGGATAAGTTTCAAGAGTATCCCAAGCAATATCCCCAGGAAAGAAGTCTGATTCCGAACCGGGGGCACATGAAGTCGTGGAAGTGATGTTCCTGGGTATCTGGAAATTAAAAAAAATTATAATAAAAATCTGATTGCATGCATATATGAATCATATCAATATATTGTTAAAATATGGCATTCTTCTTATTACGGCAGTATTTTTGATGCGGTTGAATATTGACCGAGGTCTTACAGAGTAATATTCCCTGAGAACTGTAACATTAAGATTTACGGAGTTATTGTCATCCACATTTTAAAAAAAAAGGTTCCTGTAATTCTCGCTCTTTAATGTATAATTTAGTCTTTTGCTTAATTGCAAAAAAAAAAAAAAAAAAAAAAAAAAAAAAAAAAAAAAAAAAAAAAATCTCGAACGCCCTATGATAACTAAACAATGACTGGACAAAGCAAACTTTAGTGCCAATCAGTGCGAAAGTAAATACAGGCAGAAAACATAAATGAAAAATGAAAACCACACAAATTGTAACATTTAAAGCTAAAAATCTGATAATTTTGACTACTTATATATTTTTGATACCATAAAATTTTGAATTCAGTGCCTTAAATCATTGAAATTATTTTAAAGTCTTATAAACATGATACTTTTTTGAATACATTAATATATTATTTATACTCATATATGTTGCGCACCATTTTATTCTTCTTCGATTGAATACAACTTCAATAGAAAAACAAGCCACACGTTTGAAACGCCTTCACTGCCTCATAGTAGAAGTTTTGTCAAACTTACATTACATTGTGTTAACTCAATGTGTTAACCCAGTATGCCATTAGAATAAGTCTACTATGTGATATGAAGATTTTTTTTTTCATTTCAACTGTTTATTACGAGAGGTTAAATGTTCATTACGTGATGGAATGATATGTTCATATCATGGCGATTCAGAGCTACATCAAGTCAAAAATTCTTAACTTTATGTAAAAATTCATTTATTTTGTGTCAACTTACCTATTATATTATGTCGATCAAATCTTTATCAAATGTTGTCGAAAAATCATGAATGTTTGAATATACCTATATTGCTTCGTCATTATATTATGTGAACTCTTTACTATTTGGTGTACGTAGTTCATTAGATGATGTGAATTTATCTTTACATACATATAAAGTCTTTATGATATGATGTCAGAATTTCTTTACATGATGTGAAAAAAATTTTCAGTTATGGTCAATTCATACTACATTATGTCAGCAATATGCTACATGATGGCAGAAATCTATTACGTGATGTGAATTTGCCGTTACTCTTTGGCAATCATTATTACGCTATGCCATTTTACCTTTATACTGTGTCAAAAGTGCATAGCCTATTGCCGGCATATCTTATATTATTTCAACTTTTTATTGTGCGAAGTAAATATATCTTTATATGATACAGAGTCTACTATATTATGTTTGTTTACAGATCATTACACAGATTATGCTCCTTCATTAGATTATATCGAAAGTTCATTTTGTGGTGTCAATATTATGTTACAATTATTTGTCTTTGACGCCGAAATTCGATGAAGTTTAATATAACAATTTTCGCTCATCAAATGTTACATTAAATTTAGTTTTGTGCAGTACAAAGGTTTTTTTTTTTAATTTTGAGTTGTTCTTCCATGATAGTCTGTAACTTCTAATCTTGCTAAAGACATTGTCCTTACTCCTTAGCTTTTTATTAGCCGTTAACCCCACCTTTTTTCAAGAAGTGCAAATACATTGTATCACGTGTGTGTGTGTGTGCATTCTAAGGCTCGGTCATTTGATTTAGAAAATTGGGCGTGGCAAATTTTGGAAATAGATATTCTGGGCATGGCAAGGGAAATCTTGAAAAAAATATGACTGATTCGCTTTAATTTATCAGGATCCTTCTCCCAGTTGTGAAAACACGGCCCCCATGTCCACTGTACAGGCCCGGAGCAACGGTTTTAAAAGGAAGGGGGAGCATCTTCCCCAAACAATCTAACAAGCAAAAAAACTGTCCAAAAAACCATGGAATTGGCCTGTGCTCGACCTTACAGTAACATAAATTAATATATGTACATCCTGCTGTATACTAGATTGACACAAGCGTCCTCTTTCTACAAAACAGATGGAAAGATAAATTCACTGATAATGTACTAAACGTTCAAAATCACGAAATGTGTATTGGCATAATAAATATGTGTTCACATTACATATAAGAACTTTGATAAAAAAGGAATACAGTTTGAAATAATGTAAATGTATTTTTACATCACATAATGAACTTTTGGCACCAAGATAATAAAGTGTTAACACAATGTAAAGACATTTTTACATCAAATTAGAGTTAACATAATCTTACTATATATCCACATCATGGAATGGAGTTTTGACATCATGTAATAACGAGTTGATATAATATAAAGACACATTATATTATTAACTTTTTCAGACCACTTTGTAAAGTATTGACATAAAGTTAAGATATATTCATCTAACATCTACATGCTTTTGGTGTAAAGTAAAGATATACATTTACATCACGTTATAATGCTTTGATATAATGTAGATATATCATTTCTTGATCCTTAAAGTATTTAAACCATTTAATGGAATAACATTATCAAAATCTTGACATATATATAGATAGATAGATAGATAGATAGATAGATAGATAGATATATATATATATATATATCTTGGGTAAATAACGATCCTGGTGTCTTCAAATCATCTAGAAAAACAAAATTTTAAAATACACATATACCTGCTGGTTACCGTCGTAAGAACGTTGACGATACATGTCTCTTTTTATTTTCTCGTCTTTACTGAAAGCATCCGGTATACTTAGCAAGTACAAAAAATCATCAAAAATGGCCATTTGCTCTCCAGGTAAATCAACTAGTTCTTCTACATCACCAGGTCCGTTCCCGCCATCTTCTTTCCTTTTGTCCACCGCACATGCTTCAGGCACAAGAAGCAGAGTTAAGAAGATGGAAAATGTTCGTTGATTTTTCATTCTGCTGTAAATAAGAATCTTTCAAGAGTCTTAAATGTTGTTGTACTTGAGTTAATTATACGACAATAATCGTCATGAACAATCATTTTATACATACCAGTGCAATTTGTTATGCAGCATTGTAATTTTAAACAATTAGTTTATTTTTTTTCGTAAGGAGTAAACAGAGTAATTATGTCTTCTACCTCATAGATGTAATCGCCAGTTTAGCTTTACAGGTTGTTTAAATTTTCAACAATTTTTGATAAGGTATATTTTACAGGTATATAAATGTCTTCCATAAGTTCTTACTTAAAAATTGAAGTTTGTTTTAATTGTCAAGTCAGGGTATAATCTAAATTGAGCTTCTAAACATTGGCATTATTGATTCTACGTGGTATTTTTTGAGGTTCTAAACATTGGCATTTTTGATGATTCTACGTGGTATTTTTTTTTACATTAATAGGACACTTGTTCTCTTTGCGCTTTCTAAGTTCTTTCAATTAAGGTTTTACTCATTTATTCCAACATAAAATTGTTATAATCAATATATTGCTTTACCTAGCCATGAAAAAGAGACTTCAACAATCTTTTATCTAGGAGGAAAAATGTCTTTCTATGCAATTCTTTAATGACCTCCGTTTTGTCTATAACCCAGCTGGGGGGGGGGGGGTGTCATGTTTTGAAATATTTTAATCCTAACTAAAAAATTTTTTTTGTAAAATATTAGCCCCTATAGTGGTAGCAGTCTGGTCACGCATATGGGGCCACAATTTCAATAAAGAGCATCTGGACTATAGAAGGACGCCTTCATACAACTCCTTTCATCGCCAGGCCTGTGGTTCCTTATCATTTTTAAGAATAACCACCCATGATACATGTACATGTATATGGAATATTATCAAACAGTGTTTTGTGCCAAGATTGATTAAAGATTAACTAATGGTTCTTGAGAGGAATTTCAAAACTGTTGGGGAAAATTTACAAGCCGACGAACATTTAACAAAAATTTTAACCCTTTCGCTCAAGTGCGCTAATAACCTAAAGGTGACTAATTTTTTCTGTTACAATACACAGTTAATGAAACACCGAGGGAGATTGCAAGATTCCATTTCGCCGATATCGGGACATGCTTTCATATTTCTTTGACTTATAATGGCTTTGGATGATTTTTTTTTTTAAATTCTAGACATTTAGTTTTTATATAAACGTTTGATCTTCTATTGTGGCCATGTCCTACCCCCGGTGACATGGTTTGAACAAACTTGAATCTACAACATCTGAGAACTCCCCTGTATTAATATGAATAATCATGGCTTTGTTATTCTTGAAAAGATTTCTAAAGAAATTTCCTATATATTCCTTTGTATAACGTTGATCATCTGTTGGGAGCCCATCCTACCCCGGGGTCATCATTTAAAGAAATCTGAATCTACATTACTTGAGGATGCTTCCATATCAATATTACTAATGGCTTTGCTGTTCTTTTTAATTATTTTTTCCTATAAATTCTAATGTAAAAAATTGGTTGCCCAATATGGTCCCACCCTACCCCCTAGGCGTCATGAGTTGAACATTACCTGAGGAAGCCTCTATGTAAATAAGACTAAGCACGGTTTGCTTTTTTTGAGAAGATTTTAGAACTATAAGATTTTTCCTATGTAAAAATTTGATAGCCCCACCATATCCCCGGGGGTCATGAACATATCTGAATCTACACTACCTAAGAATGCTTCCATACCATTATGACCAATCAAGGCTTTGCTCTTCCTAAAACGAAAATTTTAAAAGATTTTTTTTATGAATTCCTATATTAAACTTTGATCGCCCATTGTGGTCCAGTATTACCTTAGGGGTTAGTATTTGAACTTACTAGAATATACACCACCCGAGGATGCTTCCATGTGGATATAAATAAACATGGTTTTGTTGGTCAAGGGAAAATTATTTTTGAAGATTTTTCCTTTGCATTTCAAAGTTATACCACCCATAGTGGCTCCACCGTACCTCTTGTGTCATGATTTGGACATATATGTCAAGAAACTTTCACATGATTTGTTTTTTTGGCCATGTGGATTTGGAAAATGTGGTTTTTATTAGACCCCATTCAATTTTCACCATATCTTAATTATTTCCTCTTGTAAGAGGGTGTGTCCCTTTATTTGAACAAATGTGAATACCCTTAAGGGGACTACCATTTGATTCTGAGGAGGGGGGATGGCAATTTTTTAGAGTCAGATTATTTCTTTTCATATCGGTCAAGGACAGATTATTTATTTTCAAAATGATCGAGAACAGATTATTTATTTTCTTCTTATTGTCTGAAAGCGAAAAATAGATAATAATAATACTACTACTAATAATAATAAATCATTTAAAAAATAAAAAAGGAAATTGTCTTACTCTAAACCTCTATTTCCTGGGGGAGGGGTGGGTTAGCACCAGTCAAAGATTATTTATTTTCTTGCCAGTTAAGGGCGGATTATTTATTTCAGATATTTTCGAGGACAGATTTTTTTATTTCAAAAATCTGCCAGCCGACCCCCCCCCCCAAAAAAAAAAAAAAAATCCCCATACAGAATCAAATGGCCCTTCCCTTACCCGAGAGTATTCTGTAACAAGTTTGGTTGAAATTAACCAAGTGGTTCTTGAGAAAAAGATGAAATTGTAAAAAGCATACGACGACAACAATGGAAGACAACGGATAACTTCAGCTCATCTGAAACATGCAAGAAAACAGGCACTACATGTAAGTAACATGAATCTTGTTCAGTTTACATAAATCTACGTAATTTAGGCTATGTACGCCCTGTTATCGTTAAGTGTAATGAATTATGACGATTATTGTTCTGGTATCATAAATATACACTTTAAGCAGCAGATGATTTTTTTTCTGTATAACCACACACATGCCTGACATATTTACAAATTTTTAATTGACCTATGTCTAGAAAATTCGAACGTAATGAAATACATCAAAATAGATTTCTGGCTGTAACATGAAACCATACATAAATAATTTCTTAAATACTTGCAAACAAAAAAAAAAAAACACTTACCTACTCTGTACTGGAAATTAAAAGAAAACAATGACTGTTTAGACAAGCTGTACACATGTAGATTTAACGTACTTTGAAAGGTATTAAAACGAAAGTAAAATAAAAAAAACCCCCAGAATTCCCATGATTCCATTTAAAGGAGATGATCAGAGGCCTGTTCAACAGAGCGAGAGAGCTTGCAAACATTTCTGGTGAAGGGATAAGGAATTTTAGCAAGCTCGTGAAAGTTCGCTCTGTTGAACACGCCTCTGGAAATGTAATATTTAAAGCCCCGCTTTACAAATTAAAGAACTTACGATCATGACCAAAATGTTATTTTGCAACCATCGAGACCAAGCAACAGTGGCTGTCAGCTATCATCCGCAACTGTACTCGGCAATGCTGGTACCGGACATCCCATGACTGTACCTGCTCACTAATATCAAAAACGGAATGTTAGAGCAAGATTTTTCCGGATTGTTCAACGTATTAAACTATATGTTGTTAATTAAGTATGGATTGTTTTTTAATGAAAAATACGAAATGTGTTAATATGGAGGAAAGAAAATTTCTGATTTTAAATAAATCTACTTTATGGAGGCTTGGGGTAAAAAGCTGAGTGGAGTGGAGTGGAGTGGAGTCTTGTGGAGTCATGGAGTGGAGTCTGTATCATAACAGTACAGAAAGTTCAGAAAGTTATAAAAACAATTTGATTTCCCTAACATACAATCATTCCTTGCAATGTGATTTTGGATTTGTGTAAAAAGAATGAAATAAGAAACAAAAGATTCATTATGAAAAACAAATAAACAAAAAATTATGACCTTTAAATGTCAGCAGAGGATCACCTAAAAACGTTCTCATAACAAAGACTAGGTGATGCATAAACGAAACTAGGCTTAAATCCTATCCCAAACCAACAAACCTATTTAGAGGTGTTGACAGCTTTAATATCAGACAGATAAATAGCGATCATTAGAGTTTTTTTTTAGCTAACAGCTGCACTGAAAAGTGAATTATTAAGATGCATGATTTATTTTTAACTACCACATATTTGGATATGGAGGGGGCAGGATTTTCATTTATTGAATTTCTATTAAAATATTTCTTTAACTAAACTCCAGCCTACCCTACCCTATGGAAACACATGGACCCCTCCTAAATAGTAAAGAAGAAAGGGAGTCATTTAATTTCCATGGTTGACATTTTGTTAGAGTTGATGTGGGAATCACCCTGGAAATAAATCCAGGATCTGTGCATGTGCAAGGGTTGTTTAAAAAAATGAATCAACATACAGTATATCATAATAAATATAGAAGTATTAAATTTTATTTTTTCACAGTTGAAAAGTTCTATTAAAGAGCTCCCAATCACTGAAAAGTGAAAACCTCGTGATTTTTCCTATTATCCTTGCAAAGAAATTCTCTTTCAAATAAAGCATGGTCACTAACTGTTTAAAAATGTTCTCTTAGACATTGCTTAGACACTAAACATTTTATCATCACAACATTTGATAAAATTCTGACAAAGGAAATGAATGTAATAATATTTTTATCAGATAGGTGCCTTATTTTCTTACAAATGCCACAGACAAAAACATGCGTTAAATGTGACAACGGTTTGTCTAGAAAAGAATATTTAACAAATTGAAGATTTGTTTAACTTGTGTGATTGATGACAAAACATGGGAGTACTTTTTTTAACCGAAAAGGAAGATAAGTATTAAAATGTGAAATCAAAGAAAAATCTGTGGTCTTATTATCATAAAGACAAGCAAAAGCTCCAAACTTGTTTTATTAATTTTCATTTTTTTTTCTCAAGATGTCCACTAAGACATGCTCAAACACCCCAAGAAAGGACTATCAGTGGTAACTTAAATGTTCCAATTGTACTAAGGAAAGTCAAACAGATTTCCTGCAAATGAATTAAGTCTAAATATTGGTATCCAGGGTAATTTTCTTGTACCTGACAATGCTCACAGTTGCAAATTAGCATAGAGAAATAAATGAAATCCTGAAGAAAAGAAAGTTTACAGAACTGTGTCATCCCCCATATTGGCTAGGTCTCAGCCATTGTGAGATCTCTTTATTCCAAAAATGTACGAAAACAATAAAAGGAAGATTGTACAATATCAGATATGTTATAAGAAGTTGATTTTATCAGTGTCTTTGGGGCATCCCTACAGATAAGTATGCTGAGGTTTTCTGGCCACGGGTACAAAGACCTAAGACGTGTAAAGCTTTGAAGGATTTAAAATATTGAGAGTAATGTATTAAGTACTTTTCTTACTTTAAGATGACCTTTTGCATTATTTATTGAATGACCCTCGTACATTTTTTTTTACTTTCAAAGTGCAAGGCATCCTCTTTGTTGATATTTGATGATTTGATTGTCATTTTATAGTTTTTATTCCTCATTTTGTGTATATATTTTTACATCACCCTTTTTCTGGTTAAATTTGGGGAAATGCTATAAAAAAGATTTAGAGTGGCATGGAGTCAGGGAATGGTAACAGAATAGAGTTGAAAAGATTCATTTTCTGTCACTGTCCACAATTCTCCCTCCTTCCCTCTCTTATTTCTGTCTGCAAGAGTTATAGTTATTTCTGTGTTCACTCAGATTTTAATGCACTTTTAATTTGTATGACCCATATTTACAACCGAATAAGTGAAGGAAAATCTAACGACCTTCAAATGTCAACAATGGGAATGGCTTGTGTGTTTGGCTTTTTGTTTTAGAAAACAGACTGAGTGAACTGTGCACACACTTTTATCCTAATAGGCGAGATGTCTTGACAGATTTAATTACTGCATTTGAAATGCTTACTCAGTAAAACAAGCTTGCTATGAAACATAACTGGTTTTGTTTTTGTAAGCAGAAAAGTTCACCTGGGCATGAGTAATAAAAAAAACTTGTTAACAATCTGGTTTCAATAAATTGGAATTAAAAAAATACATTATTAATATATACTTTTCACAGGATCTGTATCATTTATTTACAATTTATTTTTTCTAAAATTTCACTTATAACATTATATATAAATTTATCATATCACTTAAATAATAAATGTTCCTTAAAAGTTACAATACTTAATAGAGAAAAGATAAATTAAGAGAAAAAAAATCTTTTACAATGTGTTAAAATATAACACACACACAAAATAGAATCACAAATTCAGCACAATTAGAATCACTTTTTCAACTTAATATGTTCATATTACCTTATGTATCATATTCAAGAGTGTCCATTGATTATATTCTATCAACAAATATGGGTTTTTGGTAAAAATGCTTATTTATATTGTAAATTTTAAAGGATAAAAAACTGTATTATAGATAAAGCAAAACACTTTACTCACTTTTTTCAGTGTTCAGTATACAAGTAAGTCCATTTTACTGAAAGGATACATTTAACTTTTGTAACACATCTTTATGGTCTGCAGTTAACTGAGACATGATTTCTCTATGTACAATGACATCTCTAGAAATTTCAAACAAAGGACATTTTCTTCTACAACAGTCTGAATTTAAATGATAATATGTATTTTGCAATGTTGGTGTTGTTTTATAGGTTTTAGAGTTTGGACTTAAATATTTTCTATGATCAAAGCGTTTTAATATAAGATCATTTGGTGGTGACCTTTGTCTATCAGAAAAACACTGTCCACATCCATAACATTTCTTCACAATTCCAGCCAAAAATGTGAGATGAAATGGCTGATCAAGCGAAGGTGTATGTGGTGTTTCAAATTCAATAATTTCAGTACTACATTTATTATTCTGACCCTTTCTTACTGAGGTTCCTTTTGGCTTTTGACCTCTACTTTTTGGCATATTTGCTAGCGCCATTTTAGTTAGACTAGTACCTAAAGATCTATACTTTTCATTGTAAACTTTGATAAAGTCTTTAAGAATGTCACAGTAGTTTGCAGCAGCAATCGTATGACTGCACAATTTAAAACTGGAAAACCGATGACATCTATTTTCGCAGGTAAAAAAGCTTGTAGTTTTCAGTTTGCATACTTTATATGGATCCTTCGGATGTGCAACGTTCAATATAAATAAAGATGATCTGTCTTTGTATCCTGGCATTTCAACAATTCCGTTCACAGAATTTATAATAGTTTGAGCCTCCTGAAATATATTTTTCAAAATTTGAAATGGAATATTTGTAATTTGGCTGTTCTCTGGTGAAATGGGAAGTGATGAATTTTCTTGAAGATCTTCTAATTCACCAGTATGGCATGTGGAGTCCTCTCCCAGAGCTAGTAATGGCTCTTTCAGCATCCTATTTAATATTAAATAAAAATGTTTTTTTAAGAAAGAGGAATGATAAATATGACAGATTATCGAGACAAAATACATATTAAATATTATACTAACTTTGTAAAAACTGCCTCTCTTTGTAGTGGTGTTTTTCTCCAATATATGTTGTCTGGTACTTGAAGATTTTGGTATTCTTTCTTTAAACGATACTCCCCCTTTCCGATTAAAGACAATTTGACTTCTGCTTCTTGCCTTTTTACAATTTTCTCCAAGGCTAAAACAACTTCCTTTTCATTGATTTTTGAGAGATGACCATCCTTTTTTAGGTCACTTTTGATGACCGAGTTCATGCATTCATTGGCATTTTGGTTATAAGGTTTTGGTGGAAAACCTAGTCCTGAAAGACTTCGCAACTCTGCTGACATACAATTTTTTATCAAATCTGCTTTGAATTCAACAAAATATTTTAAGAATAAGTTTCCATTTTGGTGTAATGACTTCCATTTTTCATATAGATTTTGCAATTTATGGTCAAATTCTTCAGAACTCATGCAGTCCACTAATCCCTTTATTTTGACTTCCCCAGTTCTTTTTCCAAAAATATCATCAATATACTCCCTGGCTTTGCTTTTTGTTATTCCTAGATCTTTAAGTTTTCTTTCTATGTTATCTTGCATGTGGATGTCACACAATAAATGTTTTGTGGATGTGAAACAAACTTCAAAGGCATCGGACAAATTTTTATCTCCATCAGTTCCGAACGCCTTTAAATTTTTCATTTCTGGGCATATTTGCAGAATTGAGGAAGAAAGTTTAAAATAACTATCAAAGTTTTTCTTCTGGTGTATCAAAATTGGTCCAATCATGACTGGTTCATTTCCATTTTTACTCATCAACATTGGATTTCGATAAGTTGTTA